GGTACATGTTGGTGACAGCTAGAATGTACAATCTAAATACGTAACAGGTACAATGCCTGCCCACACCCCCATACCGCCCTGGTGGCAGGTCAAATCGCCACTCAATTCTTGCTCTGTTCTAGGGACGATGAATCAAATATGGAGTTTAATCAGTCCAAGTCCAATCTTCTTTGACGACTCCCTGGTCTCGAAAGGAACGAGTTTGTGCTAATCTTTGAAAAGTGTCATCGACGACATTCTTTCGATGGCATCTTGCCTCTACCCCGAGATTGACGCAATAGCCTCCGTGCAGGGGGAGAATAAGATCGTTTTGAACGGCAGCGTGTGACATCATACCATGTTCAGTTGAGGGATAGAGCTGTACACTCAGCGCAAACGGATCTTCAGAGCTCCGCTTCTTTGAGTTTCAGCGCGATGTGAAGGATGCTGCCATTGTAGATGGGCTTTTCGAAGCTGATATGTCGAAAATCACGCCTATCGCCCCTTGCTGAGGCTTGTTCGCATCTGTACGAGTCACAGCTGAGTGTGAGACTCTTCAGGCCTGGAATTTTGTTGGAAAATAAGCGAGAGGGTCAAAGCCTGATTTTGGATGCATCATTTGCAGACCTTCGAAAGCTACCTTGACGTGGCGGCGGGTATGGATTGGCCCAATTCAGAAAGAAATGTCCAAACGCTTTGCCGAAATTGCCGAGTGGAGGAGGAGATGATACCGTCGATAGCAATGATTGTATGCTAACATCGCGTCTTAACCATCGAGGCTGCCAATGGAGTTGAGATTTCGTCTATCCTGCTTGCTTGTAAACATTCACCACCACACACCAAGATGACTCGCATCTTGCTGCATGGCATTGACGTCCACAGGCGGTTGTTCCGCCATCTCAAAGTCTTGCATGAACTCGTCCCATTCTGCCCAGTTGATGGTACTCGCGGTCTCGTTGACATTCCACGATTGTAACGTATCCGGTGAAAGCTGCTGGTCTAGATCCAGAGCTTGGTTTGGGAAACTTGCCATGCCTACCCCTGACGTCGAATCTTGCGGAAACGACTTCGCTGGAGTGCTAGAGTTAGGATCGTAAAAGTGACCATATGCGGGAACAGTAAATTGCGGCAGAGACTGTTGCGATATTATCGACATGCTCTTCATGCTAGATTCGGCTCTCTTGGCCTGGGCTTTGCTCATCAGCTTCTTGATTGGGCGCCAGAGCATCCCCTTTCTGGAGTCAGCAATGTGCTCGGCCCAGTCATCGAAGACCACATCCACGACTTTCCAGGCTCTCTCCACCAACGGACCTTTGTCTTGAATACAAAGCTCCGCCAAAGTAGCTCCTAGAGCGTGCCACTGGACTCGAGTATTGAAATACCACCTCCACTGAGCAGCAGCCGGCTCAGTGATGAGAAGGTGGCTGTACTCGAGATTTTGGACGGCGGTTTTCAAAACAAGCTCCCTAGAGACGTATTGCTGGACCATGCCACGCATGTCGGTCAAGGGAGGGTGATAAACAGCAAGGCGCAATCGCGAGCCGATCAGTCGAATTACCACAGATGTTACCCAACCGATAGGACCAGCGAGGTCACAATGGATGAGCACGTCCTTCTCAAGTTTCGTCTCGAGCTCTTGTATTTTTTTAATATTTGTCTCAATGGGAGGTACAATGGGAGCATTCTCGGGGTCTCGTCCTAGTGGTGTGTAGCCAAGGCGGACCGCATATTCCCACACGACATGTGATACATGACACTTGGTCATCTCTGTGAACTCCTTTCTTTCTACTATCGGTTCCATACTTCCGGTATCCATGTCGTCGTCGTTGATGTTCAGGGGTAACATGGTATTGAAAGATGACTCGAGAATGAATGGATCAGAACCTCGGTCTTCTAGGCCACGGATGTCTAGCTCAACTAGGTGCCACCATAGTCTGCGGCGTATTTCTCTCGTGAAAGGAGATATGCCGGACCATGTGCTTTCGCGATGCAGGGTCAGAGAGTGGGCCAGCCTGACGGCAACACTGAAAAGAGTCCAAGCAAACATCGTATCATCATTTGTCCGAACCGTGGTCTAAGAAGTGTCGTTAGCTAATTCATTCACATGTGTGTAATAAGTCGCATTCAGGCCTTTTTTTCAGAAAATTCAAGTAGACAGCAAGCCCATTGGGACAGCAGAATATGCTTACAAGGAATATGACCAGAGCTTGAAGTGTGCCTATCTCTTGGGTACTCAGCAGGTCGGCGTTCGATAGCGCCGACTCTGTGCCAGATCTATACCGGGCCAGCAAGGAGTTCCTTCCATCATGGAAGTTCTGCAAACATTCTTCTTGGGTCAAAGAAGTGATTGCGGCATAGTACATGGCAAATAGCAATGCCTCAACGTAGTTTCCAGATGGTATGGCGTCTTTGTTGGTCGAAGCACTCATCACCAGCTTCCGCAAGCTTGGGGTATGTAGTATCTTGACCATTGGATCCACATTCTTTTGGTAGTAGTGGAATAGAGCAATTATCTGGGCGGAGGAAGGGTGTAGTAGACGCAGCTCTCTTTGACGAAGAGGGCTAGATCCGAAGAGTACGGATGATTGAGAAATGCTTGTCTCTGCTGGTGATTGGCCAGAAAGCTGAGAATCTTGCTCTTCGTCGGAGTCATCGTCCATGGTCTCCTTGAGGCCTTGGACCTGTAGCGCACCGACCGGTCAGCGAGCATGCACAATACATTGTGGTTGGTTCCGCGGCCACATAAGAATCATCGCACCGACCTCACTGCTCAATGATCGCCAGAAATGAGTGCCTATGTATCTGCTCATCCCATCTTCAGCGGGATCTGGACCATTGCTGCCAGGCGATCGAGCTTCCGATGTATGCCTGGAACTACTGGTGTCTGGGCTCGGTGATGCATCTTCCACAAGCTTCTTCCCATTGATATCCTTCCCCTCGACTTTCATCTTCTCAATCAACTCTTCCATTCTACCCAGCCTGCGCATGAGCTCGTCGTTGGTCGCTTTGGAGCTCGCCGACTTCTTCTTCGGGTGCCTCGCACGTTCGGGAAAGACGCAATCGAGGTTGGAGCGAGAACATGGCAAGCATGGGTACTTTTTGTCGCATTTGATCTTTCGCTGCCGGCAATGGGTGCAGCTCAAAGGCTGCTGTACGGGGTTCCTCTGACCGGCGCCGGGGCTCAGCGCAATGCCAGAAGCCGGGCGCGGTTGGTAGTCAGCCATAACAGGAGGATTGCGGTTTTGATGGAAGCGAGGGCATGCTAGGATTGATATAAGATTCCAGGCACCCAGGAAAGTGACTCGCTACGAGTCCGAATGGGGTAAAGTCAACATCGTACTCGCGACCTGCTGTGCCGTAAGGTATCATATAGTATGTAGAATGGACAGGGGTGAGACCCAGAGAGCTGAACTTGTAACAGATAAATTATGGCCTACGATATCCAAAGTCAATGCAGAGGAAACGGTGGTTGACACGTATTCGTTTTCCGCTGTCTGGTTGGATATAGTACTGCTTACAGTGGTGACGAGAGAAGTAGTAAAATACTTGTAGTATCTTACGAGTCGGACGGTATCATCGTACTTCTTGAGATCCTGGCCCTACGAGGCTAGGGATGCGTAATGACTGACATTTTTACCTCTATGACAGTAATGTGACGGTCATACGGTGACAGGCCGTTTAAACTGATAAATGATAGCGCTAATTATTGTATACAGTAGGTACGTATCTAACCGTGAAAGGTGTAAGGCTAACAAAGACGGGCGTAAAAGATAGGGGCTTGGCGTTATTAGTCCTTAGCTCGGTAAGATATTACTAGTGATCCTCGATTTCAGCCCTAAAAACCTCTGAATACTACCGTTTCCCTCGAATCTCACGCTTTATCGTACTATAAGCCCTTTGCAGTGCGGTCATTTGGCTATATATGACTGTCAAATAACCGAGTAGGTCTGACCTGACGTTAGGTGTCATATGACAAATCCGCATCCCTATACGAGGCTGCGAGCAACTCCACGCACTTGTACATATATCTTTCTACTGCAATCACCACGAGCAAAGCAGATGCCAGAACCGAATACGAATTTTGATCCTCTGCCGCCGCCTATGGCGGCTCGATACTTTCTATCTAATCACAGAGCCAGTAATCACATATTTTGCTTGGTTGGTATTTTGTGTAGAATATTTTCGATTCAGAGTTTACTTTCCATTCAGAGTGCGAGGGTAATTAATACCGAGCAGTCTTCTTGTCGCATATACTCGTAACACTCGTCTTGAACCCTGCGTTAAATCTTTTTGAGACCTGTGTTACAACCTATGTCACAACCTACTCGTACTGTCCAGAAGTCAGCTACCTCGCTTAATAGCGCCGGGAGAGTTGACCAATCAAATTACTCAGTTCTCCGCAAAATCGTACTAAAATATACCTTATTTTTTAGCGAGGTAGCTCACTTCTGGACAGTACGAGTATGTTAATCATTGCCGATTAGCTTGTAGTCTCTTTTTCTGTCTTGTCATAATCCATATCCGAAACTGTACATCAAGTTTGGGCGGCGCCAAGTCTGTTAAACACCTCGACGATCAAACTGCTGTAGAGTACAGGAACTTCTTACATGTGCGTTGAGAAAGCGAAAAGTTTCCCGCACTTTTGTTACGGATCAATCCTTCACACTCGGTACACCTTCCTAATTAGGCCTTAGCGCGCCTCTCTCCGCACATATCTACCCTGCGGGCACATAGATTAATGGACAACTTTACAACCACACACATATATGAGTCAAACCATAATGATTCCTTAACAAATGGTAGCGACACCTGGCCCTACTTCATAGGATATCCAGGCGTCTTTCCAGACGTTTATGCAAAGCCTGCACCAAACAGCTAATAGTGCTCCGCTCCAAGCCGGTCCTCCAACACACTCGCTGTCATCGAGTACCTTTTGACAAAACCCACGCCCACATCGATCCTTTCGCTAGGCCTATCGATATCATGAATTCATACGCTGAAAGACTCGCCTCATTCACGTCATGGCCACACGTGTGTCCAAGTGCCTCTACCGTAGCCAGTGCTGGCTTTCATCAGATATTCGACTCTACTTTTCCAGCCTCGGATCTAACGGTGTGCTCACTATGCGGTCTTGATCCTTGTGACTGGGACAGTGACGGTAGTCCATTTGATTTCCACGCTACTCGATCACCGGAGTGTCCATTTGTACGTGCAACGCAGCAGAAGAAGAAGCAGCACCGGAATCAGAAGACTCGCCAGCAGTATAAGAGAAGGTCTCTATAAGTCGTCCAGTCAGCCACTCAGCTAGCCACTCAGTCTGATACTCTACAAGAGGAGGGAACACTACAGCAGGCAAATGCGGAGAACACTGCGGAGAAACCAAGCGGCAGCAAGGCCCCCAGCACCAAGAACACAGGCCTACTCTCCACGCTCCCATGTCAAATCGCCACTCAGCAAGCGGAGAACACCACTGCAATTTGGCCTGTCATCCCCACTGCATTGATATGGTACATCATTGCAATGACGTCACAAGAGGAGGATCTACTGCGACGATCACAGCCAATTGGGCCTCTACAGGAGGAAGTTCGAACGATGCATATTTGGACGATTTGAAACCGTCCGATGTCTTGCTCTGACAGCAATTTCATTATTCGAAAGATTTCACTGCGGCAGGAGATATTGTGGGATTCACGTTGCTACCATTTGTTAAGGAATCATTATGGTTTGACTCATATATGTGTGTGGTTGTAAAGTTGTCCATTAATCTATGTGCCCGCACGAGGGTCGGTGACAAAAGTCTCTGCCGACTTTTAGTGGGGGCTGCGGGAGAAAGTCGGCAGAGACTATTGTCACCGACCCTCGGCAGGGTAGATATGTGCGGAGAGAGGCGCGCTAAGGCCTAATTAGGAAGGTGTACCGAGTGTGAAGGATTGATCCGTAACAACTTTGGCAATTCGAAAATCCGAAAATCTTCTTTCTGTTGTAGATGGACAACTATCTTCTGTGACACTTCAAAAATCTCATAGATCATATTTAGTATATCAATTACATAAGTAGATTCCTGAGTTCTTCCGAAATTGTAGCCTTGAAAGCATGTAGGTGTGTGTGTGTGTAATTCCTATATCGGAGAGCCATGCCTCTATTCGTACCCCTTCCCATTGAAAGGCGTAGCCTAGAGTGCAACCGTTTTTACCCACTCGATCTTACGGCTATATCCGGTATCCGTACTCTATTTAAGATATAGTAGATAATCGTAATCCCGTAGAATCACAACTATATATATTATATTAGAAATTTTAAAGCCTCTATTATAACTAGATATTATTACACTCTATAATATATTTTAAAACTTTTTTCTTATTTCTTTAGACCGAGCTCTAATCTCTCTATTCTATATATTCTTAAATATCTAATACTTTATTATATATCGTTACGTAAGAGAGAGAATAGTAATATTTATTAAATCGAAGCCGAGAATACTCGAATTAAACTCTTCTTCGATTCTCGTAAAAATATAAGATCTAATTAAGTCTATTCACACGTCGATAGCTAATTAAAAGATATATAATTATCACTTATTACTTACTAACTTCGCTATTAAGAGAGTATTTTTCAAATATATTAGATTTAGCTTTCTTATCTAATCTCTTTTTAATAAAAAACCTTTATATAATTTTTATAAACGAGTCGACTCGTCTATAGCCAAAATTAAGTACTTATAATATTTAGAGAAAAGTTATTAATTAGCGAGAGAGAGAGATATTATTCAATCGAGAGAGATAAGACTCGCCGTTATATCGATAATATTAAATTCTTCAAGAGAGACACATTAACCCTCAATCTAATACGTCTTATTATTTAATTTTCGCTTATATATAGTTAATCGTTATCGTAATCAAAGAATCTAATCATATATCTATATATAAATATACGCTCTTTTAAGATCTCTTAACTTCTCTAACGTATCGAACTATAAGTTTACGTCTATTATAGCTAACGAGTTAAGACTTAATCAACGCGTAGCAGCTACTAAATAGGTGTAGAGTAGACTCCCGAAGGTATAGGAATCTTTATCAGAGGGTTTATAGCCGATATCACGTATAGGTAGATCTCGTTGCCAGCCGAAAGCATGTAGGTAGTGAATCGTAAATTCGAGATTCTCGGAAGGTAGTCTTGGCATCGACTTGGTACTTTTATCAGAATACACGTTCTAATATTTAAAAGAGTTTGGCATGTGGACTTGAGCCTATCAAACTTCGTACGCTACCTTAAGGTCTCAGAGATCGAGTGTCTGATTCTCGGAATTTCTGATTGGGGGGAACTCTTCTCGTTTCTCAATGATTAGGAGCATGGGGGTAGAATCAACCCGGTCATCACCGTATCGCATGGACTGTGACGCTAGATATCGTCTCTCTGAACGTTTTGGTGCTGTGCAACGGTTCGCTGGATCTATTCTATTGAGCCATGAGCTAGGTTGAACGGATGCTGTGATATGCTCCCATATCGCTCATATTCATCCTCACTGGTCACTTGGGAATGCGACATCTGGCCCATTGTATTTTTCTAAATCCTTAGCTTCTCAATCTCGAAGTCCATGCTTCACTTCGCAGACACCGGTCTTGCTGTTCAATCTACCTCACGTTGTGAAGTCCGAGGGTCGCCCAGATTGGCCTAGGATTAGGGCTAGAGTAAAAGCTTGCTGAATTTACCGATGACGACAATGTTATAATGAAAGAAGTCCATCTGGGATTGTTTACCCCAAATTAACTCAGGAGCTTCGTCGTTCCCGCAATCACTGATATATCTAGCAAGCTGTTTCTCCTGCACTCTTACACAGGCTCGACGAATCCACATTTGCACAATTCAAAGACCTGAAAATGGCATCGCAAGATCCCAATCCTCAAGGTGGCTCAATCACGGACATGGCCGTTGATGGCACCAAAGTTCCGGACGATGCAGGAGCCCAATACACCATACCCTCTGTTCCTCGACCAGATCAAATTACAGACCCATCCGACGATCCCAGCAACCTTGGTGCTACTGATCTGGCTGGTGCAGCAGATAACGCCCAAGATGTTAGCAGGGTCAGTGACAGACTTCTTTCCACCTTTCCAAATGTCTCCATACTTGAAGAACATGACACTTATCCTGCAAAATGTTCGACTAACTCTCTGCGTGTGTCTCTCTGGGTTGTAGACCACACGCGATACCGCTCCTAACCCCGAAACTATTACCGGCACAGGCGATGCTCTGCCTCCGGAGATCGGCTCAAAGCGTCTTCACAACGACGTGAATCAAGATCTCAGTAAAGGCCATCAGCGATACGACAAGCATGTGAAACAAAAGGGCAGTGATCAAGAGAAAGGGGCCAGTGAGGGGGCCACGGAAGATGAGGTCGTGGATGGAGTTATTGGGGGGCGTTGAGACTCAGCGAGACACTTCGGAAAGGACTGATGACACAGCGGGACTACGTAGGCCACGGGCGCAGGCGGATTGAGCGAAGAGAGGCTACGATGCAAGATCAAGACACACTTCTGTCATATGGCAGCCTGTTGTATGCTAAATCAATGCACTGAAAGAGATGGCTTTTGGCGCCAATTCCAATGGTAGCAAGTTTAAGGTCACAAGAGCGAAGAGAACTAACAGTTAATTCTCTAATGCGAGCGGCTTCGCCTACTCCACCCACTACGTTCATATGCAATTGGAGCCAATGAAACCTCGGTAGCATACTGCGAACACAGTTGCCTTTTGGACACTGCAACCGAGTAAACTCATCAGTCTGTCAGTAGGCAAAAACAAGCAATATTCGTGACGAGAACGAGATGTTAACTCCAGGGTGGCTGATCTTCTGAAATTCTATGGCCTGGCTCTGGCCTGGCTCGAAAACTGGAAATTAGGCTTAGTTTTGAGAAGACCAACCTTCTAAGACTGTCGGATTCCATCCGGGATGCAAAAGGAAGCACATTTCCATGTCTTCTAAGCGGTGTTGATGGCGTTGTTGATGTACGGTAAGATCTAAGGGATGTCATCAATGAAAGTGATGACAGAGAAAGCTGTATGATCCGTGAAGATAGGTAGCGTAAGTGATGAAAGGTCGCGCCGCAAGACCAAGGCACATATTTGTTCTAGGACAACACGTTTGGATCTAATTGCGTGCCCCTAAAAGAGCTGGGGTTTTGATATCAAGCCAGTGCAAGCAGACTGCGCGCCCCAAACATTTACTCGATATTGTCATGACCGTGCAAGCCAGCTTTATGACCTTGTTGTTCCCGGCCAAGCTGTCTTGCCTATACGCGATTTCCAGAGAAACAAGTGTACTACAACTGACAAGAGAAACAATCATATGGTGTCCTGGCTGATACGCATGCCGCCACTCAATCATGCCAATAGCCTCACTTGGGTATGCGCCAGAAAGATTGCCATTCGGCCACAAGCCCACTATAAGCCCACTTCACTACTTCGGAGTATTGGCATGAAACTAGTACTGTGAGGCTTAGGCCTAAATGATCGGCAAGATCAGGTTGACCAGCCAACTAGAATAGTTGTTTGCCTCGGGGTGCAGAAAGGAAAGCACTCCTTGAAGGCGACCCTCCTTCTGAGCGAGTTAACCTTGACTCTTAACGCAGAGAGAAAACAGGCCTTTGACGCGACCAACCATTGAAGACAGCCAGATTTGATTCGGGATGCAGAAGAAGGCGTTCGCGTGACTTATCCAACGACAACAGTCAGATTTTCGTCTCGTAGCCACTCCCCTCAAGATTAGCTTCTTACCCCATTTCGTTTGTTCCATCCTAGCGTGCCTAGTCACGTTTTCCTTTTGCAGAGAACCTGAGATCCACCATCGCCTGCCGGCACAACAGTTCTTATCATCAAAAGTGTCTAGCGCGTAATCCTCTACGCAATCGTTAGAAAGTCAAACCCAGGATGTCCACACTCCACACGCCGAACCCTGCTATGGCGGACGCAAAAGTCGGATCACCAAGCCTTGACCGTGATGGAGCCCGATTACCTTTTATACCGTATGATATACTTGCCCAAAACACATACCTTGCTATGAAATAGGCGCTAGACCCAAATCTATCACAAAAATTAATGTCAATCTTTGATAAACTGGATATGATTTTCCAGGAGTTTAACGAAATTAGGACCAACAGCCAGAGATCTTGAACGTCACAGGCGTCCTCCAGATCAGCCTGTGAATAGAGAGTGGGTAATGCGTATTTCGTTTGTGAGAATTTGACCTCTGCTTACCCAAGAATACGACAAACCGGACCGTGATTGAGAACGTGCACTGCTAATGCTGCTGCTCGGACGTATCTTCGGACCTTTTTTCTCACGATGGAGGCTTGGCAAATACTCAGCAAGGTAGCCCTTGCCGAAGCACTGCCAGCGGTTGGCAAGTCGCATAGCCATCGCTTTCCATAATTTGTAAATGAACTCACAGAATAAGATGAGCAGCGCAGAATGGTCCAGGCCGTTCATCAGGGTATCAGCTTCCTTGTTCCTAGTAACATGACGGGCATAAACGGGACTTCGGCGATACTGGCATTCAGCTTCAAGTTCATGTCTCTCTCATGGAAAGAACCAGCCGAATTTCGTGCCGTCCTAGAGGGACCGGATCGCAAAGAGCTTTGCAACTTGGTAGCTGCGACGGGTAAAAGGTTGGAAGATTGCCAGGCTTTCTACGAAGTTCATCTTTCGGTCAGAAGGCTTGTTTCTATTAACACTCATTATTTAGATCACGACGTCCCCGATAGGCCTTCTGCTGCGCAGTAAAGAATTGAGTTAGTGCAAGGCAAGTCTAGCAACAATCCTGCAAATGTATACATAATACTTTCAGCTCTGAAGAGCAATCCGAAATACATGTCTGCGGTAGGCGTGCCATCCGCTAGGGTTCTGCCAGATGCGGCAGAAGCTATCGCTAAGGCCAACAAAGAAGGCTTCAAGCAAGGCATGGCCGTTACCAAGAAAGAAACTAGTAAGTACAGTTCCATCCGTTGTTCATCTTTTTCCGCTCTCATTTCCCTCTTTCGTTCAAAAGCAGAAGCAATCGCCCCTTCCAAATCCAAAAACGCGTAGGAGAGATCGTGTGAACAGTCCGTGCCACAGGAGAACATGCCCGAGTCAATCGGCTCGTGTCAAGACATCAACCCTATCAATTGAATAATCCACGAGTGAGGATATCGTGCACACCACAAAAACGACCCAAAAGGTGGAAACAGATGCTTCAGAAATACTCACCAACGCATCTGGTGCCATTCTCGATTCCTTCAAGACTGTGGATGTTCAACGTTACTATAGCAGCAGAGGAAGTTCGGGAAACCCTCCACGCCCAGGCCTAGACAAGAATCAGAGAAGCCCCGCTCGCTTTGGAATGCCTGGATCAAGCGCGCATGTACGCAGATCAAGACTGACGACCTACCAAGCTGTAAAGGCGTCTCGGAAACGCTAATGCTAGAGTGCAATCTTTATTACCATTGGAAGGTTCTGTACTCTTTGTTCACAAAATGCTGGGATCTGTATTTCTCAAGACTAATGCGTCACTTTAGATCTTCCACCGCGAGGATGGTCACACTCCGGAATCGTTCGACTCGCGTTTCAACAGCCTCGATCACCACCACCACCCCTTTGTGGTCGTCTACCAGCAGGGTGGATCCGGAGGCATGGTCAGCTTCGAAAAAGGGTGAGTCACAGTTCTGATACCGCTGCATAAGGAGAAAGAAACCAGCATCGCCACAGGGTATAATACGAAACCAGACACAGAGCCCGTCACCTTGGGCTTGATTCCAGGCTCCATCACGGTTGCGTTGCCGGAAGCAGATCTGTATCTGTCTGGACCCGGTCCAATTGTGCTATTTTAAGTAAGCTGAGCTGATGGTACGCTTTGGACAATCTCAAAGACACACAGAGATCATGAGCCGCGTGCCATTTTGGAAATAGGATTCGATTGCAAGACCAAGTAGTCTCCTATGGACATTTCTGGCATGCTCTTCAGGCTTATGGCCCATGTCTGGCTTCGTTCCTGAACCAGCAAGCCGTTACTAGCTGATAGTTTCATACCTAACTAAGACCCATATGTGACCTCTTCTTGAACAGACAGGCCGTTGTTGGTTGACGAGTTTGATCCCCGAGACACCGATTCGACTCTATCATTGCATTGAGAGATTGCTATTGACTAACAGATCCAGCGTTTGAACATGTATTCGACTCCATACTCGGAGTACTAGACCTTTGGCTTCACAATTGCCCTTTCTACGTCTTTGCGACTCGCAGCGTCATTCGTCTCGGTCCTGTGTCCGAGGAGTGTTGGAGAATGCTCCCAGCCTTGTGGTAGGGCCAGCACCTACTATTTAGTAGCCTTCACAGCCATTCTTCTTCTTCTGATCACAACGAGTTTCACACCACATTCCCATAAGGAGACTACCAGCCTGTGACCGCTAATCGACTTGTAGACGGCTATTGCCTGCCAAAAGCATGGGTTGATGTTTTTTTATTTTTACCAGAGATGATCCTTTCGGAAGATCGGCTGACGGCTCTTGAAAGCAACGAAATTGACTGGAGCGTCAGGCTTGGAGTAATCTAAAGCGCAGATCCACAAATGTACCCTCGTACCTGATTATTGCTGACTGCCTGATTGAGAAAGCGGCCATGTCCCGGAGCTCAGATTGGTATTCGGGGATGTCTAATACCCCTCGCAATATACCCCGTCACCTGAAGCATGACATCACACGGGCAACACATTTCATCTACCCGGCCCCTCATTTCATGCAGTGCTTCCGATCGTTGCTTGATTTACCACGTCCTCTGACGCTCCTCCGCATTCCTACCGTCGAATGATGGTGTGCTTGATGATCTATGTAAGACCTACTCTGAGTAAACCTTACGCCGCTCTGAGATCTACCAGACTTGTCGAAGACTTCTCCGTATTCTCATCTTCAGCTCGGAGACGGGAACACTATGGATTCTGCCTGTACGTGTGAGCCTTGCGCTGAGCAATTGGTGTGCATTAAAGGTACTTCGCAGAACCTGACGGGAACACTATGGATTTTGCCTGTACCTGTGAGCCTTGCGCTGAGCAGGCTGTGTGCATTAAAGATACTTTGCAGAACCTGACGGGATAACGATGTACTGGCGGTAAATGAGAGTCTTGTACTGAAACGACTGTATAGTCCTGTGAAATTTCCGGACTGTCCATGGTGTGAGGCTTTATTGGGGGTGTAAGCGGTGCATAGCCCTCCCGGTGCACAATATAAAGGAGACCGTTTGGAAGGAGAAACGTCCACCAAATTATCTCCAATATCCACCACACAAAAGCTGTACACACACTTTCACCATGTTCTCTCAAGTACTTCTCCTCTTACTCTCCATCACTCCCTTCTCGTCACCAACACCTGTGGCGAAGCGAGCATTCTCAAACGGTCCTGTCATCACGTCCAACTTCCCAGATCCCGCTTTCATCAACGTTGGTGGCACGTACTATGCTTTTGCAACTTCCAATGGAGCCCAAAACATTCAAATCGCAACGTCGCCAGATTTCGATACCTGGACGGTGACAGGCAGTGACGCTCTCCCGACAATACCATCTTGGAGCACAGGCGACGTGTGGGCACCTGATGTCGCCCAGCTTGTGAGGACCTCCACAAACACGATGATAAGTGGGAGACTGACTATGACAGGCTGATGGCTCTTTCGTCCTGTATTTCGCCGCCACTTCCTCTACCAACACAAACATGCATTGCGTCGGGACCGCCACATCATCGACGGTCCAAGGTCCCTACACAGCCAGTGACACCGCCTTTGCATGTCCTCTTGAGTCCGTTTCACCCTCCTAGAAATATCATCTCTCGTCATTTATCTAACCTCCCACTACAGTCAAGGCGGCGCGATCGATCCGGCCGGCTTCGCAGACTCCGACGGCTCCCTCTACGTCGTCTACAAAGTCGACGGCAACAGCCTCGGCGGCGGCGGCACCTGCGGCAACGGCGACGGCTCCTACTCCACCCCCATCATGCTGCAAGCCGTCGAAGCCGACGGGGTCACTCTCACCGGCACCGCCACTCAGATCCTCGACCGCGACACCGACGATGGCCCTCTCATCGAAGCCCCGAGTCTCGTCCTCGTCAGCGGCACGTACTACCTGTTCTTCAGCAGCAATTGCTACAACGGTGCGGTTTACGATACTAGCTACGCGACCGCCAGTGCTGTCGGGGGTCCGTATACGAAGGCGTCGAGTCCGTTGCTGGTGAGTGGAAGTGATGGAGGGGCGTTGAACAGTCCCGGCAGTGCGACGGTGGGGCCAGCGGGTGCGCAGATGGTTTTTCATGCTGATTCCGTGGCGGGGGATTCGTCGCTTCGGCAGATGTGGACGGCGGGGATTTCGGTTAGTGGTGGTGTGGTCAGCATCAGCTGAGGGTGTGAGGGAATATATGTATACTCATATGGGGAAAAGATGTACATTTATTGTACATTATGCGTTGGAAGACACGGCATCTGTGAGGACTCTGACTCCACTGATTTATGGTCTTGCCTCGGATATGACGTGCTCTTATGTCATGCTTTTGAGGAAAACGTGGGGATGTTGACGGGTTTTGGCGGAATAAAGTGGAGTGTGGAAATAGATGAAAGACGTGCCTCGAGAATGACGTCCCTTTGATCCGATGACCAAACGATCATGCATAAGGTAGAGCAGGAGAGAGCAGCGGTTGGATATGATTTGCCTTTTAGGGTTACGACCCGGTCCCCCCTTTTTTAAAGGAAGATGTTTCTTCGGCTAAAACCTTGTTTTTACTTTAGCGATTGCGGGGGTTTTAGCGTCGTCGATCGACAATCGACCCTCGCATCATTCCGCACTAGAACACCTTAGCTCGGGATGACTCAACTATCTATGTCTTCAAGCACCTCATCTTTCATGTTGGTTTCAGTCGGGATCCGGAAAGTGAATGTTGTGGGAATAGATGTATGGAAAGAAAGAAGAGAATGATGGAGGAAAGAAAGACGTCGGCCTTGGAAAGCTTCAAGGCTGAGTGATGATGGATGTATATCAGCCCAGAGTGAACAGGTTGGGAAATGTTTCGCTGCTCATACGAGCCGATTCTTGGTTTGTTGATGATTGTACTCATATGCTGGGGTGGTGAGGGTTTATATATCTTATTTTCCTTCGCATCTCATTCTGACCGTCCAACAGGTTATGGGCCCGTGCTGCGCGGTTGTGGAGGAGAATCCCTTGCGTACTACACATTGGTTTACACATAGTATTTGGCGGTTTTCATATACACGTTGACCGGTCACGGTTCACTAAGGTGCGAAAGTCAGGAAAACTGCTACTCAGGGGGGTGGGGTACTAATCGGTATTTATACACCATGACTCTATTACCGCGTGTTTGACGGCACCCAAACCCAGGCTTCATCTCTTTGTAACGAGCAGTCTACCCAGGGAATGGCACTGAAGGTTTGGCTTGCTAATTGATTCTCAGCCGAATGGCAGATCTGGTACCGTTGTTGCCCGTGCAATCGTGCCACGAGACCGACATGTAACTACTCTATCCATAAACCAGTTTCGTGAATACCCGCAACTATTATCTGCGAGACCAGAGCCTCCTGGGAGTCTTTTTCTCTTGCTTTGACATGCTCGTCGGGCGCGAAAGACATGAAATCTAAAAAGTGTGCAAAGCTCATGGCAAGGCCAGCGATTCAGGAAGGGTTCTAAAGTCCGATATCATTGGACACGCTTTCAATGGGTTGTCTCTTGAGTACACGGACGGGGAAGTAAAGAGTTTCATGCCGCCCCTCGGCCGCCTTACCGCGTAGAGGCTGCGGCGGAACCAACATTGACGACGCGTGCTCCGTCTCTCTGGAGGGAACAGAAAATCCAAATCATTGGACTGCAGTCCTTCAAAGACACGGCACTGCGCTTCTGACCCAACACTTGCCACGTTGAGGAGTCACGTGATCGGGGTAGATGTATAACACTGGCAGCTGGACCAATCATTGGTGTCGTTCTGGTTACGCGGCAGCGTCATGTTTCGGATTACCACCCAACCATTGCAATGGATTCGACTAGGCGGCAGCTTCAGGTTTCGGACTACGAGGGCTTCCCATCCAATGCAAGGCTTCTGGTCTAGCGCATGCCTTACGGAGGGCGGTGCGAAGGCTACAGCTTCACAATAGCTACGATTTCGGCCACGCCCAACTACCGTGGATGATGCGGCAAGGGCTGCCAGCCCATGCAGAGACGCCCTTCGGACCCAGCGAAGGTTCGTGATTGGTACTGTGAGGGTTTCTGATGCGACCGCCTCCTTCTGCTCGACTGGGCGTCGGTCTCAGAAGCATGACTACATGACTGCATTGTACTTTTGATCTAGCTAGTCCATTGAGTTCGCCTGCGGAACGGCCATGTGGTTGGGCCTTCATTATATCTTTGGCCCCAGAAGTCGCATGCACCTGGACTAGCCCAAGCCTAATGAACGGTACTGTCAGGACTTCCCATCCAGCCATCTGCGATACCCTTCAGGTCCCGTGCCTGGTGAAGCCCGTTCGGATGGCATCCATAGCCTTCAGCCGCGTGAGTAGTGCCAAGTGGACCCATCCCCTATATCCAGGCTGGCCTTCCCCCCGCCCTTCATCTCCTTCATCTCCTTCAACATCTTCCACACCTCTCCAGCAACCCTTCAAAAGCCTTCTAGCTGTCCACAGGTCTCCATCAACTAAGCAAAGACCCCCCCCAACCCTCCTCACCTCTCCGAACACTACAAGCCCCAGACCCCAGAATGTGCCACTACACCTACCTCCTCTACCTTTGCTGCAGCGAACCAAAGGAGTACGATGGCGTCGATGTACTCGATGTAATCTTCTGCAATAACTGCCCGCTCTCCTCCGACAGTTGCATGTACGACTCCGATTTCTTCCACTGCCCCTACGTCACTGCCGAATGTCTCGGGGATTCATACTTCTGTTGCCACGAATGCAGTCAAACCGCTTCAATGGAGGACAACAATGACGATGTGGACAGAGACAAGGATCCCCCCGATACTTTCTCCGAGTACTCGGACCTGGAATCTGTGGGTGGTGGCTTCCCTATCGGTACGTATGACCATCTCTGCGGAAGCGGTGTTTCACTCGTTCCGTGAAGCTGTCACGAGATTTATCCGCTGTGCGTCAAGTAATCCTGACCACGCCCGTGGCACACAGATTGGGACGAGGTGTGCCGTGAGATTGAGTATAGGCACCCTGGCTACGATGAAGTACCGCCGATATGGCAAGGGTGAGGGCGAAGAGACCGCTTTGATAGAGCGCAGACATGGGCTCGGTGGGTCTGTTGACGTTTTGCACTTGCGTGGAGTGCAGTCGTGCATGGATTTCGAATGTATATAAGGGGACTACCCTGCTCTTGAAACCTGGCCCAGAGGTCCCGGTCTCATCCAAGAATCGCATCATTCCCTCTGATAACTACTCACGGAAATCACACAATTCCAAGATCAAAATCCCACAGTATCATCGAAAGCTTGATTTCGTGTATCCGAAAACCTAGTCCACTTCAAATCTAGATCGTAGTACTATGACTAGAAGCGATTCCAGTCCAGCTACGAATCGTATATACTTAAGATTCTAGTACCGCCTCGACACGGTGTGCCAGCCAGCCGGCAGGCAGCCCCGGAAGGTACCACGCTGTCCGTCTCTATTCCATAGCTTACCCAATAACGACGATAGATACGAAGTAATACTGGCAGGCATACAACGCGGTTTTGCATATGAGATGCCGTGAAAATTATGGAAATGGATAGTGATGGTATTAAGACGATTGCTTTGTAGAGCGGTTAGGCTGGTAGTGGTTGTTAGAGATTTGAGTGATATCTGTTCAGATCGGCTCGATTGAAGAGGAGAAAGGGTCACCACTGTCATGAGATGCCTCAGGGCTACTTATAGGGCTACCAGCGTAGGCTTGGCACCACATATAGCTGCCCTGCAGACACTCAGGACAATCAACATCTTTATACTATACCAGATTTATGAGTTGTACTATATTGATTCTGTGACAATCACCACGATCTCGATAACGTATATAATTACATGACGTTCCCATGTCAGCTCACTCTCCATGCTCATTCATTAACTTCCTATGTGCGTCTAGTCCCTCCCATGTCATTGGGCAGCTCAGTCGTCTCATCGCGCCTGCCGGTCGAAAGTTCAGCCGGAAGAAGCGTTTGTCTCGGAACCCTCTTCGGCGCTCCTCTCTGGTCTCCAATGCCCCGCCATACAGGATCATAACTTTGGCCCCCAGTGGTGGGGCTTGTTTTGAGCCTTCTGTGGAACAGCATAGCCACGACGATGAACGCGAGAAGAGCAAGTCCACCAAGAACACCGCCAACGATCGCACCAGTGTTGTTTGACGGGCTTGAAGTTGCTTTCGAATGCGTTGACGATGAGGCTGGAGCCGAAGTGATGGTGGATGTTGTGGGAATAGGGGACGATGAAGTGGCTGAAGACGTAGAAGATGCGGATGTGACCGATGGTTTCGCCCCGCTGAGAGCGGAAGTGCTTGACGGGCTTGAGTGCAGCGAAGTAGTTGTCGGTGAGTACAATAAATTGTCCGTGATTGCGGCGCTTCCGCACGCAATATATGCGTACGTTTGATCGGGTCCATCGGTCAAGAGAGCAGTTGAACAATAATCAGCCCCAGAATCCGTGCTGTCAAGGTAGAGTCAGCCGCAGAGCAACGCTTTGAATATCCGCAATCGAACAGACCAGTGCCGGGGGTCAGGCTAGGAAAAAGGATCGCAAGGGCAGAGACGAGAAGGTTCACAAACCATCCAACAGTCGTAGCGTTTGGATCACCAGAGATGCCGCATCCGCCGTCGCAAGCATGTGCGTCCACACAGCCTCCTACCAGTCCACAGTCGCTGACGGCAAGGATGGCCGTTGAGCAAAACCCCCATATGGCATTCTTATTGTCCACCCTACAGTCGAAACCTGGATTTGCGGTGCGAGGCAGGCTGGCATTCCCATTGAGATAGCCACATGTTGAAACGTCGGCGGTAGGGGTATCGGCTTGCCACTCGGCTTGCCGTGGCTTGAGCTCGGGGTGAAGCTCACTGAAGGCTCGCGGGTCTGACCCCGAGGTGTTGGGGGTGTTGGGTGTGTCGAGCGACTCATATCGAGATACATTATTGCGGGAGGTTTTGACTTTTCGGAAACGCGACTGGTCTGACTTTGCTAATTTAGCCTCCTCGGGACAGCCGTTAGGGCTAGGGTCTCGGCCCGTGGAGATCAAAGCTTGCTTGACAGCAACAAAGAAAGGATTCATGATTCATAAATATTCGATTCAATGTTATAATAGATTGTTCTTCGCAGAGAGAAGAGGAAAGTAAATACCCTCGAAGGAGCAGATACCAGGGGCGGGCAATGCTTGGACGTAAGATCAGTGAAAGCTGAAACGCATCTCGCCACATCGCCCGACCCTCTGTTCCTTCAAATTGTCTGAATCCTTCAGGGCCACCAGCGCCTAATGACCCGTCTGTACTCTTCACAATTCTTTCAATCTCCATCCTTTCCAAGTATCTTCTTTTACCATCTGCCCATGTCTTGCGCTCTGTTTGCCGGTACGATTCGCTGTATGCGGCAATAAACCGCTGTCTGCCGCCAGCCATGCAACGAAAGCTCGAGGTGCTTTGGAAAACCGTAGCTGTTTTCCTAGTCGCTTCCTCTCTGCTCTTGGGCTTCAGCTGGGATTACACCAATGCAAAACCGTACATACCCAAATGGTTCCATTCCTCAGATTGGAACTCCGCAAATGAGACCGGTACCGGAACAGTGACTACTCCATCTCCTCCACCAAGCCCGCCATCCAACCCAATTTTGAAAGATGGCAATAGCACTCTGCTCGAAATGGCACCGTCGTATATCAAAGCTATTATGACTCCGGAAGATACAACCTTCCCAAGACTGGCTTGTCCAGCGCCAACTGGTGATCGTTATCTTTATCTCAAGGCCGGCTCCACAAATATGACCCACGGCCGTACTCTACGCCCGAGGTATTTCTTTGCCCTTGATCTCCATCAATGCGCGAGTGTCCTTCCTCGCTTGATCGGCTCCGTTATTGAAAGCATACGCTTTCTCGGTCCTCAGAACTGCGCTTTGTCGGTCATAGAAGGCCGCTCTGATGATGGGACGTTCGAGATCTTATTGTCGCTCCGCGAGGAAATTGAACGCATTGGTGCCAAATACTATTTCAACTCCAGCGACATCAACCCCACCGTAGGCGATCGCATCAAAGCCCTAGCAGAACTACGCAATCAAGCACTCCAGCCACTTCTGGACCACGCCGATAAAGGAACACCCACGAATACTACTACCGTGGTTTTCATAAATGACGTAGCGCTTTGTATGGAGGACATCTTGGAGCTAATCCACCAACGAAAGTATCAAAACGCTGACATGACCTGTGCCATGGATTGGACTTACGTAGGACCTGACCCTACCTTCTATGACGTTTGGATCGCGCGTGGGATGAACGGCGACACTTTCTTCAACATTCCCGAAGATGGAAACTGGAATTCGGCGTGGAATATCTTCTGGAATAATCCCAGCGCGTCCGAACGTCAACGGACGGGGAAGCCATTTCAAGTCTTCTCGTGTTGGAACGGTGCCACGGCCTTCACAGCAGAACCGTTTCTTGAATCGAAAATCAGATTTCGAACTTCGCATGAGCATGAATGCCCGCAGGGCGAACCGAAAACCTGGTGCACGGAGATGTGGTATTTTGGATACGGCAGAATCGCAGTAATCCCTAGCGTTAATCTTGAGTATAGCGACGAGGCAGCCAAAAAAATCAAGACGGCAAAGGGCTACGTCTCCAGATGGGTAGGAAGCGCTGATGCTGAGGGCGAAGAGCGGATTAAATGGGAAACGACTCCGCCCTCCACTGTTAAATGTATGCCATCTTATCAAAACCAGACTTGGCTGCCCTGGGAAGAGCAACTGCAAGTCGTCGAGCACGAATCGCCTCCCCGAGAAGTACCGTGATTTGGCAGATAGCAAAGTTTGTTGGACTCTTGATAGGGTAGACCGCATCTAGTCTAAAAGATGTATGATACATTAATCTACGCAGCCCAAGTGCCTACACCAACTACCGAACAACAGAGAGCCTTCGTAACAGTCTTCTCAACACACCGCATCGAAGGCTTCACTCCAACGAACCAGATGACCCACGTTGTGTCTACAGCGCCCTCCAACAGTCAGTTCAAAGCACATACAAGAATCGAACTTTCTATTTCTATCCTTCTCATACTGCAGCAGGAGCTCGCTATGCTCAACCCGCACAATGCTCATTTCAAGTAATGTCTGCTCGGCTCTGCCACACTTCCTCGCTCCGACAACCGAACGAGCTCGGCATCCTCGATCCTTACCCCTTGGAGGTTTTACGTTGGCCGTCTGCTTCACGGAAAAGTTTCGCTCTGGTTCGCCCCGTGTTGCAAGCTGCTCATGGAGCCGGCTAGGGCACCTGCGGTGAAACGTTCGGCGCTTGCGTTCCATGGTTAGACCGTGTGATTGCGCTCTTTGCGGTTCACGCTCGCTTTGTCTGTCTGTGTTCCCGCTCCATCTTGTTCTCCGTGTCCTGTTCTTCCGGTCCCTTGCGTCCCCTCGCGTCCCTCGCGCCGTTGGCGCATCTCATACTGGTGTCTGACTCGACCGGCGATGCTAGTCTCTGTTGTCGAAGGTGCTGCTTGATTGATGATGCCGTCTGCTTCGGCGATATGATCGCGAGGAGTCGGCGTCGACTGCAATGGCGACATCGGAGGTCCGAGGGCCTGATTTTGGCCATGGTCTGTGGGACGACGAACTGGCACGGGACAGGATATGGGTGTCACTTGCTCTGTAGTGATGTTTCACGATTGAAAACGATGGAAGTGGTCGTTGAACAGGAGCGCTGCCGTCTACCATTTGTAACGAAGGGGTCCGTGGTCCTCCAATCTCGGGATACAAATGGCTGTCATTCTGCGCAGTTGAATCTATCCTCCCGGGTCCGGGCCTGTTCAGGCATGAGACGTAAAAGTTTTCTCTGCCACCGGAAGAAGTGAGATAAGAGATGGTGTTTCTGAATGGAAGATGACAGATAATGAGTCAAAGCGTTGACCTTGAGCTGCCTGGAGTCGCTCTTCTTCGGAGGGAATGACCAGGGAATTTTGAGGAAATAACCTCATCGAAAGTAGGTCGAATATCGACATTTCTTGCTCAGAAGACAAATGGAATAAGCTGCAATTCGTCCATTTCATGAAGGAAATGCCAAGGAGACCAGAAGGTATGGAGCGAGATGGTTTCCGTCTCCAAAATTCCGACCCACTAAGCTTACACGGCTATCTTCATGATAGAACGGCAATGTCTCGGGTTGCCTGGGTTGAGCCACTGGAGTCCATCTCGCATGCTCGTTACAGTTTGGATATATAATTTCCTGCTTTGGTAGACGAGGCAAGACCACACCCTATACAGTAGAGCCATAAGCGAGCAGCACGACAGTCTCAAGCCCATGCGTTGGACTTTGGTTGTAGAAAGCGGTCTCGTAGAGTACCAATGGTGTAGGCTTGCAGTTTGAAGACTATACCCGACGACTATGGGGACCGCACTATCACTTACTACACTGGCACCAAGGTGTGGAGCATTCGGTTTTGAGCAAGCATACACGTGCCGGTCAAGTCATATAATTCCGTATGGAGGTAGAGAGTACGCAATGTCTTCGCAGTTGCGAGTCTGCTTGTCCTATGCCATGAGACAGGTGCTCGAAGCCTAACAAACTCGGCCCGTGGAAATGGGGATTGCACTTCTCGCACTCCCCTACCGGAAACATCTCGATCGGTTCGACCAAAAGGCTTCGAAAGCCGGAACCGCCACCGGCAGTACCAAAGGGCGGACGTATCTCGATCTTTTTCCCTCCTCCCTGAAGGATGCACCAACAGGATTCCAAACCAAAACAAGTTTTTTCAGGGTGCCCGATGGTCTACGAAAGACGTCGACACGGGATGAATATTTTCATGCCACTCTGTGAATGCAAGCCAGGAAACGACGTCCACGAGTTTCACAGGGCACGAAGATCTGCTCCTCCGAGGCCTCGTCGAGTTCGAACTCTAGGTCAGCATGGAGTGCTTTTGATGAGTCTCCAGTGGTGCGGCCGAAACCGTTGGAGGCCCATGCGGGATCCGCTAGCAGACAACGTTTGCTGTTATCTCGGAACGATCGAAATGTTGCGCTGTTCAGTAGGCATTCCAGGGACCGTGGTCATTCTCCTCCCCTGGCTTGCACTCTAATAATGCTTTGAACCCTCTCGCGTATCCTTCGCAGACAACAAGCCCGATGACATGTCATTCCGTCCTTTGCCTCTCCTTCTCTCCGCCCGTGGTTCTCCGCCAAGGACTCCACGTAGCTGTTATTGGCTACGATGGTAACAGCGCTCTTCGAATACCCCTTTGCCATATATGAATGTGACACATTCGTCTCCCATACACCGACAGACCACCCATTGTGTCCAGCGGGATCAAGACACTCGGCGGTGAAGTAACCCTTGAGCTCCCCGTGGGCAAGCATCTCACATCCGTTCATCCCGTACAGGCGAACAAAGACCCTTGCGTTCCGACAGTCTCCGCTGACCGGAAGGGAGCTGGGGTCGGAGCTAGGGACCCGGATCGGAAGCCCACGCACTGGACGAGCGTACGCGATGACCCGGCCCGAGCCTTTCGGTCTATGATAGTCGATAATCAACTTAAGATCCCTCATTAGCTCTGATTACGATGGAATCACTTTTACTGCCGTTGTCTCACTCGGAATGCTTGGGGATGAAATGACATCAGTCTTAGGGAGACCCTCGTATGGAAGCTGCTTGACGTGGAAGGGGGGTTTCAGAGAAAGACGCCCTTTTCAAACAAAACTAACTAGCTACGGCATTCCCGCCCAAGGAAGCCGCACCGGTGTGGGCCATCGCTGCGTGGTGTCCGAGATCGCAGTAACAATCGTTGTGACCGGGTCGATGGCAAGACCGGAGCAGTCTCCGCATCTTAGGCTTCCAGCATACCGCGACGGCACCGGTGCGGACGGTTCCCCGAAGCTAGGGCGCAGCTGCTCAAGCGTCATAGGTATGTGGTAGAGGAGGGAAGTAGCGCTATGGATTCTAGAGGTGGGGTGGTGGACTGTCTCAACGAGTTGGAGTCGCAATCTTGAGGCAGCTGAATGAATGATACACTCGCCCTCGTCGGGTGGTGGTGTGTGCGGATTATTGCGATTGGTCAAAGCAGGTTTTTATAGGTGACGGGAGTAGGGATGAGGGAGGGAGACGATAACGGGCGGGTGTTTAGTCACAGTATCGATCATTGGCGTGAAGGAGGTGAGATGTAGGCCATAGGGAGTGTGTAAAGCTACGGCGCATAAGATGCTAGATAGATAGATAGAGAGAAAAGTTCCAGCACACGTACGTGATGATCGAGCGATAGTCTGAAGAATCACAGCTGACGTGTACTTCAGTCTCGGATCTAGTGGTACGAATATGAAGACTTGCAGTGCGAGAAGCGTCCATGACTACCCGATGATCTGTATGCCGGTGGTGTGTTCGACCTTCCGATCGGACGCATCGTATCCCACGATCACTCTCCTAGAGGGAGATGACACCCAATAACAATAATTCTAAACGCTGTTCGGGCATAGAAGATGTAGCAGTCGGAGTCCTGGCAGAGAAGCAGACGAGGGACGGGGGTTGGATTCGAAGGCTAGAAAGCCGAAGTAGCCGCTAGCTACCGCTGCGACGGCTTTTCTCGCGAGTCGACCCTTGGCAGAGAGCGTGCTCGACTCGAGCGCCAATCTTAGAAAGGAAGAGCAGTCCCTTTCTTTCTTTGTTTCTCTGCAAGATTTGGCCCCGGTGTCCCGCGCTGTGCTCCCCCCATGCTACACGTTGTGCTCCCCTACCACAGCCGCCGGGGGCGGCATCATCATCACGAGTGGCGGGGGCGGGGGCGGTCCTGGCGAACTCTGGTTGCTGCTGGCGGCGGCGGTGGAGGAGGAGGAGGAGGAGGAGGAGGAGCTCGATGCCGTCTTGTATCTCTGTCTGTTGCGCCGGGGGACGTTCGCGAAGATGATGAGGGCGGTGAGGAGGAGGAGGGTGGCGATTATGCCGGCGGCGATGATGCCGCCTTGGACCATTGTGGGGTCTGGGTGTGTGTTGTGTGAGATGGGTGGAGAGAGGGGAGAGGGGTTGGTTGGTGAGTGAAGGTGGTGGGGAGTGTTTGTGCGAGCAACGGAGGATGGAGACGGAGATGCAGAGGCCGGGACATAGTGGAGCCGAATGGCACGGCGAGGGTCCAATCGGGAGGGAGGGTCGTGTGGCGACGGGGACGTGCCGGAGGAGGGGAAGATATCCCGCACGTTCTGTCGACTTCGGTTTCCAATCTTGGCGTCTCGATGTTCTTGATAGTACGAAGCAGCTTTGCAAGGTCATGCTCCAAGGATTTTCTCCGGGTGAAAAGGCTGCTTGTGAATCTGAATCTTAGAGCATGGCAAAGATGATGGTTTCAGGGCATGAATCAGTGACGATGGGGCCCTGCAGGCTCGGAATGCCTATTTGGGCGAAGATCCCGGGTGGCAAGACAATGGTATTGCAGAATGCTGGGCTCGAACAACAGTTATTTAAGCAAATGGTTTGGGAATATGCAAGTTATTTTTGAAATCCTGGAGACTCGAATTACTCGAGTCTGGGCGTTGGATAACGAGATGACTCATTGGTGGTGTTGCTTCAACTGCCACCTTTTTGGGCACCGAGCCTGGAGACTGAGGCTTTGCACGTACGGCTTGCCATGGTGAATGTGGGATCGGCATCGTTAAAACGTCGATTGCTCCTGTAGCCAATCAGCAGTAGCTGGATTTATCAGCATGCTAGCCGTAGCGCAATGACAAAAATGGAGGCTTCGGTTGATTCACGTATCCAACTTCTTGGATCTCCCGCTTCGAGACCGAAAATCTACACCCCGTCTTCTCTCTTTCATCGCTGCTGTATAGAAGTGACTTGGCTCCAACTTAGGAGAAGGAAGACCGATTGACCCAATCCGGACACGAGCAGATTCGCTTTGGCTCCTGGTACCAGGAAGAGCTTGCCCATCGACCATTCGATTGTAATAAGCTCTCCACCACCGGGGGGTATTGCGCTCATGCTGGCACTCCCGGTCTGATAAAGAGGTATGATAACGAGGATGTCCTCGTCATGGAGGTCAAGGGTTGTTGTTAAGCCTTTGTATTGGCAACAGTATACACTCGGATTGTGCTGGTGGACAAGCTTTGTGATATTCGAAAAGCGGAAACATATCGGCGTTGTTTCTGAAGATCTACCTTCCGCTTAGCTTAGGACTTCAAAATGTATGATGCCAAACGGACCTCCAATGGCTATGTGATTGGAAACTGCTGCAGAACCTGCTCCAACGCGGCTCTGACTGGCCACAATGACCTGTTCTTGTCAAGCACGGTGAATATTGGTGCGGCCGGCGCTGGAGCTGGGCCTGGAGGTGGGAGAATCGCTTGTCAGAGCTGGATGGGATGTTCTTTTTCATAGGATTCGACCAGCCTGTCCGCTTCTTTCCTCATGTGATTTACAGTTGGCCATTTGCTCCTTCATCATGACTTCTACCGTGGCTTTCCCATGTTGTAAGAAGACCGCGGTTGGATTGAAAATGCCGACCATGCTGCGGTTGACTGAAAACTCAGGTGCCGCCAACGTGGTATCTCGATCTTGCTGTGAATTTTTGATGATGGAGAGGATTAGAAGGAGTATAATGATCTTATAGAATTCAGATTCGGAGGCACACCCTACTCATTTCCGAAAGGCAATCTCGACGAAAATCATCCACGATTTTCCAGCAGTGTACTCGTTCACAAAGTACAGCCTTTGGTGCAATCACGGTCCAGGATTCAGAATAGACGGGAACCGTTGACAGAACATTACCCGAACACATTGCCTGAATTCGGAGCACAACGATTGAATTCGGGTCATTGTATCCGAATATCGCCCTGGAGATGTATAAGAGAAACTGCATGGCCAGATACTGGTGCTGTTCCGTTCAGTAATTTATTGATCGACCCTAGCATTATTGCTACCACTCGCCGACACGGTTCCCTCACCCAAACTCGTCTTAGTCCCTCGACCGCCTGGCTTTTCATTCACATCGAAACAGCATATCCACTTGGGTTTCATGCCGCTGATGACAATACATCAAAGACATACACCTGCGAAATGAGTGACCAAGCAGCTAAGAAAAGCAAGCCTATGCCGCCGCTGGGAGCGTTTGCCAAGAAGCTTGACTCTCAGGTCGATCGCGTCGAATCTGGGGCTTCGAAGGCTGAACAAAAGAGGGCGCAGGAGCAGCACGAAGGGGACACAACAAAGGAATACGGCTTAGGCGCAAAAGTAAAGCCCATGCCGAAGAAGGCGCGTGCCAGGGTGTCGGGGACCCATTCTAAACGGGTCGAGTCCTTACTTCAGCAATACGAAGAAGATATGGCGGAAAAAGAAAAAGGAGATTCAACAGAGTACTCTAGCCTAGGCGACGGAGGCAAGCGTTTGCCGAGGAAGAGAGATTTCCAAGAGTCGAAGCTTTCCCATCCTGATGAATATGAATCCGAGTCTTGGAGGGTCGAGGGAAGCGGGAAGAATTTAGAGGGCCCTGGCGGAACTGGCGGCCAGCTGGGCGCCGAAGTCACGAGTAGTAGACCAAGGAGAACGCCCGCTAGTAAGCCAGATTCCCAAGTCGGTAGCGGCAGGGTACGTAGCGAGGGTCCGGTCATGGGTGCTCAGCGGCCTAGGACAGGCAATACGGGCAATTCGCAAGAACCGACTGAGTCCTGGGCATCAAGAAATGAGGGCGATGGTTTTGAATCTTTCGAGCAGTGGGACTTAGGCGATGATGATTAGTATAAGAAATCGGCCGTGTAAGAAAAGAAGGCAGTCCAATTGATCAATGGAACAATGAATGTCAGCTTCTGCATATAGTGTGATAGATTGGTGGGCATGCATTTGCCAATGGAGTTTCATTGCTCCTGACACCTTCTATAACTTCTGCGGTTGTCAACTTTAGACCGGTTGTTCGGTACTAGGATCGCTGGCTTATGAACTGAATCTGGGCGAAGCTGAAGACCTGACAGACCAACTGACCTTTTCCACGCAGTATTAGATCTGACTTTGAAGGGACAAGAATCACCGATCCAGGATGCCATTCAATTGTGATAAGATCTCCGCCATCGATTGGGCTCGCTTGTATCCTGACATCACCAGTTTCAAATATTGGTATCATGACGAGGAGTACAATGCTCGAAAGATCGATGATACCTTCCCGCATGACGGCTATTTTCGGTTCGACGCTGTGATTTGATCTCCAGTAGTCGAATAGTGGATTGAGGGGAGACTTTTCTGCGAAGATCTAAGATCTATATTAGCTGGACCGCGAAAAGGAGTTGTTAGCAAGCTTGATGAGCCTACTTCAGGGTAGTAGAAGTCCCTAAATTCCTTCCAAATGGGTCTAATAAGCTTCCTGGTGGCCTCGAACATTCGGTTCAGGGGAATGACAAAGTATGGAGAGTTGTCCGTGGCAATGGGATCCAAGGACCTGAGGAGGATGGCGGGATCTATTTCAAACACTCTATGGACATTCTGAATGTTCTTGAGCTGGGGCACAGACGCCTGTACATACTCTAAAAGGGCATCCGTGGGCTGATAGACACCAACGAAATTGTGAAATAGTTTTGGTACGAGTTTGACCTCCGTCGTGGGGCTGTCGGGTTCCAATGTTGCCATGGTCGTTGTGTCGGTTGGGACTTGGGAGATGATACTGGTGCCATCTTCAACAATTGTGCGGGAGGATACATTTCTATAGGAAATTTGGACGAAAACAGAGACAATTTAGAGCCAATTGCCATCTTGTGTGACGTGAAAGCTTCCGATTTGTGACACAACCAAGGGCGCGAAGTCGATTTCGGCGCTGGCGCTTCACGCGCCTACTAGCTGCCGTCACACGAGCAGGGGTTTGACAAGTGCAGTGCGTGCAGTCTGTATAAGTCTCTTCTTTCAAAAAGCTTCTGGCTCCAGATGTCTCCCCCAGTTTTTGAACTAATGGTTCATGATTGTCTACTTAGATTCACCAGATCCAAAGATTGTGTTGAGCAACAAGGGTGCCAGCACCCGAGCTCCAGGTGTCCCCACACATCTGTTTACTCTATTACCTCTCAATGTGCTCAACCATCCTCCGGTGTCCCCAGAGACTTGACTCTCCCCATCATCGTTGTCTAGCATCTTCATGTCTCGCCGATCAACTACACACATGCCTCTGGTCCATTGGCCTTGAGTCTCGACCCTGACGTCCTCGCCTCTCTTCATCTCCCAACACTCAGGTCGGATAGATGACGTGAGCGCATACCATATGCACACGATGTCATGTAAAGCCATACTTGTGCTTCCCCCTTCGTGGCCGTGGTAAAGGGATTCAGACTTCTCAAACGTGGCGGAGAGGAAGGCACCAACCCATTCGGCAAGAGGACTACCTTTCTCGATCAGAGGCTTAGTCTTTGCTTCCACTTCGTCACGACGCAGAGTGTGAGGGGTGGTGACGTCCAAGGGAAACATGATCACGTTGAGCCTTCTGTCGCCAATTTCACCTTTTTGGGGATAAGGCGGTAGCGAAGATGGTCCAGCCATTGGTGGCATCGTGCTCGCGGGATTTGGCGATGTCAATGCATATACCCTTGCGGCTGCGGTAGCATCAGCTATGCAATTGAACTCTCCCACTGGTGTGATGTTGCCAGGTTCGTCAATGGTTCCGCCCATGACTACAACCTCCTTGGCTTTCATGAAAGTCTTCGGATCTTCTGCAGCCGCAATGGCAAAGTTTGTCAACGGTCCAATTGCGATCAAGGTGATGGTGTCCGCGGGATTCTCTTCAAGGATGCGGAGAATATCATAAGGTGAGTGGCGGTTGGAGGGCGTGAACAAATTGGTATGAGATGCTGGACTGGTGTGAGCAGCGCTGACTGCAATAGAGGAGAGAAGTGTCGCAGGTGGCGGGGCATCAAAGAGATGGGACCAGGTTTCCGAGGGGCTGGTGTGGTGTGGGTGCTTTCAGCTAAATCAGTAGATGAAGAGACTGTGTATTAGAGGCATCGTACCGTATGATGGACGTTGCCCAAGCCATCGATACCATCTACCATCATTCAGCAGAAAAGCTTAAGACTTTTGATAGAATATAAACCGACGATAATAATCTGCTACCATGGTTTGACCACCAAGCGGTTCTTTGGCACCAACAGCAACGGTAGGCTTGCATTTTCGCATGGTTTCAAAGCCTTCTGGCAGACCTCGATCTTTACGCCATTGCATTTCCTTCTCGATGACGTTAAACATGGAAACGACATTACGAAGACAGCTGTTCAAACAGTATGAGCACAAAACCACAAGCGGAAAACAGCAACGGGCCTTTCACTTTTGCGCATCTACGTTCCCGTACGTGACTGAGATCAGCAGTATTTCCATGTCCTCAGTGCTTGATGCCAGAGCCATTAGTAGAGCAAGAACATCATCGCAACCCTATGCGGGTTCCCAAGGTCAGCGCCGTTTCAGTAGCGTGGAGGAAAGAGTGCCCACCGGATCGGTGTCGATGATGACCCTACTTTTAGCCATACCGGAATCGCGTACAGACTCAGACTACGAAGGATGGTTGTGCCCAGTTCTAGGTCCACCAGGCGCTTCGAGATCAAATTCGCCGAGCTTTAGCCGAGTATTGAATCACCAGGCTGAAAATCCCACGCTCTTACACTGCCGCGAATCCTTTACTTCTAGTTCTGTGGAAGGCAATTTGGGATTGCAGTCACGTCTGAACGTTGACTGATCCCCTAGATTTCCTTCGATACCCATATTCTCATACCCGTTGAGCGATTGAGAAAGAATGCACCATGTTGAAATTATTCAGGAAGGATGGATTGATTTCTCCAGATCTCTCCAGGGCCAGGTCCTAAGTACAGTACAAAATCAGCTAGCTGGGAAATACGGTGGCTGGGAAGCGTGGGGGCCAAATTTCGACACACCACTCAAGATCAGAAAATCAGTAAGAATCTTTTCATAGCACAACTTAAATCACCGATTCCAGACTCCAGCTGTCACAGATCATGAGTACTACAAATATCCAAATGATCTATTCCTAGTCTCCTGAAGACACGCCGTGACAAGAGTTTCATCGACGCAGTCTCGGAACTGGGATTCCTGCCGAGGGTCTCTGTGCCTGCTTAGGCTACAGGATTGGCATTTCAAAGGACACAGTCTGCTAAGGCACGGGGGTCATCAGAAGGATGTGGCTTACAACCATTGAAACCCTTTGGCTAGGCTCCTATATTATCATCGAAATATTGGCGTAGGCGCGGGTAACATTGCGTAATCCTTCGGAGCGTTTGCCACAGGCTGTGCTGTTTCAGCCTGTTCTCATGCCGTCGAAGGAAGATCCTTGGGCTGATGCAGTCAATTGCCAGTGAAGACCATCGTCGTAAAGGTCATTCTTGGAGGGGTCCAGAAGAGGAACTTTTCGGGGTTCTGGAACGATGTTGAAGTCGTACTCATGTGACTTGTCCAAATTAATTTCGAAGTTCAAAAGGATCTTGACAGACTATTTTTAGAGATGGAACGCGGCAAAAGCAGGGATCTTTGCATCATTAAGGTAAGTTGCATATAAAGGCCCGACTAAAGGATTTTAGCGGCATTAGCGCTGACGCGTTCCCGAGGGGCTTGTAGTTGAGCCTCATTGTTGATCGTTGCCCATATCAACCATCCCTTCCCCTTCCCCTTTCTTTTCAATCAATTCTCCACACTCGCTGACAATCTCTTCCACCAAGAATATAGATACAACATTGATCCACATTCCACACTCATATCCAACAAAAATCTAATTACCGCCTTCTAGAACGTACATATTCTTCACCATGCGTTACTCCATCATCCTCCCTGCTTTCGCAGCTGCTGCTCTTGCACAATCCGCCAATGTAAGTTCCACCGTTGCCTAGTACCTCTCACAACGATTGCAGTCTCCTGCACCATTCACTCTGGAATTCCCGTTATCGCCTCCAAGCTTGATACCTCATCACCACACCTTCTTCTCTTGCTGTCAAGCTGTCATCTTTGAATTTTACTCACATTGACTCTTTCTCCACCAGGGCAAATCATACACCGAAACCAACTCCCTCGGTGTTGTGACCGCCCAGCCTGGCGTCGTGACCACCCAGCCAGCTGCGGTCACCACTCAGCCAGCTGTTGCCACTGCTCAATCCGCAGCTGCTGTCGTCCCGGCAGGTGCAAACAGTACAATTGTCGCGGTCCCTCCTGGCTCGACTGGCAACGGCTCTTCCGGCACCAACGGCACCGTCAACTCAGCGAGCCTCAAATCCGCCTCCACCAAGACCTCTTCCACCTCCCATTCGTCTAGCGACACATCCTCAACCTCTACCTCCCACTCTGGCTCCTCCACCACAAGCTCCGGCCCCTCGACAACCAGCAAGAAAGCTTCTGCGGCGGATATTGTTCAGCCCATCCTCGGTCTCGGGTTTGCCGGTCTTATCTTCGCCGCTTTCTTATAAAGTGTGTGACGCTCGGACTGCTTTGGACAACCATTTTCAGCGGCATGTAATGCGGGGTTTTACTTGGCGACCAAGGCGGAGATAATGGACCGGCGTCCTGCACGAGGGACACAAAAGTGATAGGCATTTGGTGCACGGACAATCATCCTGTGATTCAGCGAGGTCAGACGAGAATATCAATGACTCTGGGCGTACTTGGCTCGTCATTAGGGCTTAGACCCATTTCCATAGAGAGATCAATGAAGGATAGAGGTTGCTTCTGACCATACTGTTGTTGGAGATGACAAACCGATCTCTCTCGTTGTTTGACCGCTTTCATTGACCAAGTCTTGCTCATAGGTCCTTTCACTCTGCGCAATCATCTGTGACGACAACATGGCTTTGCAAGACGCTCTTGGTGCTCCTAATGATCAAGATACCGCCTTCCACAATGAGAAGCTGTCACGAGTGCGCCTCGAGCCTACTTTCCGACGATTGCCCGTTGCAGCGCCTAGCGTTTCAGATGCGCTTCTCAGATCTGGAGAGGGTCCCCTGTTGGAATGCATCTTTGTTCCTCTCGGTCTCTTTCTTTCTCCCTTGGATACGAAATACCTACAGCTTTCAACAAACTGTAGATCAATTATATCGAAGAAACCGATCCTAGAATAAAAAGGCCTGTGCCCGCCTGATCTACGGCGCAAAGACCCCTGACCCCTGTCAGCTTCGAACGTGGGGGGGCCTCGAGGACATTTCTCCGCCAATTACTTCTCCACCATCCCTTCTGCAATTACAAGTTACGACCGGCGTCTGAAAGCTTCATAGTGTCCTACAAATCGGGTATACACCCGAGCATCTCATAATAACCAGTAGTAGTCTCCGAGCTCGCTCCAGAGGGAGATCTCCCAGTGTCCGCATTCTGCCACTAGACCTCTCGACGGCCTTTTGATGTCAATTGAAGTCTTGACGACATTCATCGGATGAACGTCACTCCTCACTACGTGTTGGAGTCCAATTGGTCAATGGCGGTTACCGGAGTTGCGGTGGTCTCATATTCATGTTGACCGCGAAGGCCAGCTCTCCTGGAAGCAGAATCGCAGCACTCCATCCAGCTTTCAAACTTCTCTGGCTTGAGCTTCCATTGTCGACTGGGCTCCTCACACTCCTCCAACACACGCGGCACTTAGGTCTGCACGCCCATTGAGCCCTCGCGCAGTCTGTGCACAGCAGGCCCGTCGAAATTCACTTCGCAGGCCCCTCTCCCAGACTCGGAATGTTCCTCACCGAATCTTGGTTCTGGCGCGGCTTCCAATCAGCAATATTCTATTACATCTCTTGTGCTCCTTGTACGAAGCTGAATTATCGTCGGAAACGCCGAAAACAATTGAAGCGTGAAAGGTCAGAAAGGGCGCTACATGAAGCCGAGGAAGGTTTCCAGCAGCATCCTTCTCCATTCAGCACCAATCCTTACTGGAAGGAAGAGATATCACTTGGCCCCGGTCCACCGCAAAGGAAAGCAAATAGGGATGGAAAGAGCAGGCCTAAAGAGAGCAGGGGATCGCGGACTTGGGGAGCTGGGAGCAGTACGGAAACTGGCGCGAGTAGTGCAGATACAGTGGTCGGAGAGGAGGGCGGTGAGAAGATAAGAGATAGCGGAGAAGGTTGGAATAAGAGGAGGTATCAGCGGGAGGATGAGATACTTTGGGGAAAGGAAGAGAAGGAGGGCAAACCGACGGGAATGTCGCTTTCGAGGTCGGCCAGCGGCAATGCGAGCTATTACCAGGCAAGGAACCCGGCGGTCAACGACCTGCATCCGCCCGTTGTGAGCACTCAGCCGACGAACCGAAGTGAAACGCAATGGATGCTGCAGCCACCGCCAAAAGCGAAGATCATGGAAGGAAAGGAGAGAGCAAGTTCGCCCAACAGAAGCAGGAGCGGAAGTGGTGCTAGCAAGGACAGCAAGACCAGTGGGAAGAAGCCTGAAAGCCTGGGTCGTCAGGTTGGCGAACGTCTGATGGAATCGAAGCTCAAGCGGGGAGACAATCCAGCAGCAGCTTCGTCTTCTGTGGCTATGAGCAGGGTCTCTTCAGCCAGAAGCACTGCTTCATCGATAAAAATCGCCCCAGGCCAACCGCACGACAGAGATCCGCCGTTTCCTCTCTCCCAGCCATCATTCGAGTCAATGAACCGCAAACCTCCGCCACCACCAATCAGCATCTCCTCTGAACCTTCCCTTCTTCCACCACCTGCTGTTCGCCCACCATTGTCGACCATACCGTCAGCTTCTCTACCTCAAAAGCCAAAGGACCGACCACCACACCTTCGTCCTTTGCTTATCTCAACCAACAGCGCCTCATCCCTTCAAGTCCTGCAAGAGCTCGTCGCCCCGGCCACCCAACTCAACATCATCAAGTCTGCGTCTGCTGCCATACCAGATGCTGCCGTAAGTGTGAAGCTCCCGCCCGTGAGCCATCAAGAAGATGCGGATTTGCGGCTGCCGGAAGTGGAGAGCTGGTTTCCGGAGAGTGGATGGAGCTTTCCTTCAAAGTCGGCGCCGGTGCCTGGACAGAGATGGAGCATGGAAACCTAGAGCAGGCTCAGGTCTGGAATCGAGGGGCGAAATGGAATTGCATTTGCATTTGATGTCTGAATGGCTTGAAAGATGTACAGAGTACTCGCTTGCATTTGGATTTGGTACGTCATGCGCTTTCATCTGTAGCGTTTCAGCGACTCTGTTTGCATTCTTCGGGCGGCTCATGATCAGTTACGACCTCGAATGTTACATAAGTTGAGATCCTGACACCATGAGGTACTCATCAACACGCAGCCCCTGTGATCAACCCAAAAAGACCTTGCACGAAGAGATGAAAAACCTCTCGTAATTGCCTTTTAATGGTCTGATCGATCATGATGCCCCCGTTCTTCCAATTGCGTTCCATCGTCGCACGCTGTCTGCCGCATCACAGGCCGTCTTTCGAGAGGAACGCAAGGGCCCGCCATGGTGCTCGTAGTGCCGCACTGCGCATTCGGGTAGTGGACAGTTGAGACCGACTCCTGCGCACTTGACCTCGTTCTTCCAGTCGCGTTCCATCGTCGTGCTGCATCACAGGCCGTCTTTCGAGAGGAACGCAGGGCCCGCCATGGTGGTACTGCGCATTCGGGTAGTGTACATTTGGGTAGTGGACGATTGAGACAGATTACTGCGCACTGCGGAGGTCGCAACACTAGAGCCTGTGCACACTGCGGAGGTCTCAACACTAGAGCCTGAGTCGTGTCACCGTGTGCAGAGCTCCAATGTACAATTTCGGTAAGGACCACGTTGTCCATCACTTTCTAGATCGGGTGTCACGCTGTCTATAATGCTCACGTCTACTTGGTTGTATTGTCGGTGATGGATGTGGTTATGGTGTTGACGGCATGCTGCTACATACCACATCGGTGTTAACACTATGAATAGAGACAACACCGGTGTTAACACCATGAATAGAGACAACACCACTGCACTAACGTTGCAGGCGCCACAGGACCGCGCTGACAACTTCCAATTCGTGCGATCGGATTCAATGGTTTGTTGCTATCTTCCTGTGACATTTGACATTTTGCATGGCTTGCCATTCTTTGCGCAGGTCGGATTTCACTGTGGGGTTTCCTAAGGTCCACGTCATGTTCTGGGCTCTGAGCCCATAGTAACAACACGATGAACCTCTTGAGCGAGCCTTATCACCGCACCCCTCTCAACACCCACGGAGCCAGATCGCCAGTTCAATCCTCCTTCCCTCTACGCATCACCCCCCTTCTTCCTACCACCCACGTGCCCTCCCGAGAAGAAAAACACCCCCAATGTCGTACCCCACACCCGCAACCCGCAACGTCCGCGCCCTCCGGATCCCGGCCGACGGCTCACCTCCGCACCTGATCACCCTCGAGACGATGATGACCGAGCCCGTTCCGCCCCCGCCGTCGAACTCCTACGAGGGGCTGCTCTCGCACCTGGGGAAGACGGAAAAGGCCCGTCACGTGCCCAACGTGAAGGCGTTCTGGACGCTGAGAGGATGGGAGGACCGCACGTGCAGCTGGGTCTACTACGGGAATGGATCGATGAAGGACGTGGAAGGGATGTATTACATCTTCTTGGCCGTCGATCACGACAGATTGCCACCGAACAAGCATCTCTCGACCGACCTGTTCGATTGCTGCGGGGACGTATTCTTGCTCAAGATGGTCAACTGGCCGGAAAAACGCGCGGCCGATTACGATGATCCGATCGACTGCTTACGACATCTGAGGCACGAACACCTGTTCCCGGAGTATGCGGATGTGGACGATCGGGTTCTGGGGAGTGATCTGTTGGAGGCGACGGTCAGGGAGTTGCTCCGCGGGGCGGTCTTGGCGATGAGGAATCGGGGTGAGATGGTGGATGAGGATAAAGTAGGTCGACTCCTGCAATTCGGCTTTGCGGCCAAGGCTCACCGCACTGCAGTATCTCCCACCCTGTCACGGAACGCCATCTGGGAAGGAATCATGTTTCTCTGCAAATGTGCACGATGAGCCGGTATGTTGCTGCCCTCTTAGCTTGCAGAGTACTTGACTAATGAGGATGTTAGGGGCACGATGGTACGGTATCCTCGTCTCCCAGGGGCGCGGGGGAGCTTCAGGAGGACTAGGATGATTCACCCGATGGTAATTTGCCTAGACGAGACCACAAAGGTGAGAGGGTACACGGAGTAGCATTGGTCATAGCGGAACGGCCTCAGTGTGGTTTGGCTTCATGGATCCTCGTCGACCTCGCCATCACCAGCGTGGCAAGTAGTGAGGGAGCAGGAAAGCAATGCTTCCTCGAACACAGCGAACAGATCAAGATCATTAGAAATTAGACGTGAAGATGTACGTCCTAAAGCATCTTAAAGCCCCAATGGGTCCCGGTTTTGAGTGGTGCGTGAAGCCCGTATATCTATCCGAGAAGTGGGGTCTAGAACTGGGTGGTATCTATTTACCTTGTCGATCGGCCCCCACTCCAAGACGTGGGATACGATTCCCAATATTCACGTCAAGTGAGCGAACATGAATAAATTTGCTCAACGCGGCTTCGTCCCAAGGGAATACCGAGTGCGTTCTCGACCAATGGGGCTCCAAAAGAAAGATCGGTGGCAGCAGGACGATTACATGCATTGACAGTGACGTATCAGAGCTGCTCGCACATCGGACAGCGAGGGAAGTCCTCGAATTGATCACAAAACATGCGTGCTGTACGGAAGAGCAGGGAAAGAGGTCAGTGGATCAACCCGATTGATGCACTTGGAGTGTCGCTATCTTGGCACATTCGTAGCTGATCGGTGCATGAGTAGATCCGTATGTAAGTTCTGCGGGGAGCACTGGTGATCCAAAAGTGTCGCGCGGTAGCACAGCGGGATTGCAAGAGACGTGGAAGAGCTCTCAGCTACTAAGAGAAGAAGTGCAATGATTTTCAGTACCCAAAAATGAAGAACCATTACGGTTGTTCTTTTGGCGAAATTTTGCTTTTTGGTGCGGAGCAGATCTGCAAAGCCCTCTTGAGTCGGATCGATACTGACTCATTCATTACCACCTCCAACAGATCGAAAAGCAGCCACAGTCTGCGCGCTACTCACAGCGATACTGATCAAAGCCAGTGCGATACTGATGGTGCCAAACACAAGCACAGCCCAGAACGTCACGTGCTGCACGCGATCACGTTTGTCCTTCCACATCTGATACCAGCCGCTCGGTTTCCGGTTGTCCATGTAGAACTTGATCTCCCGAAGTCGAGAGCTGAAGCGCGGAAAGTGACTGAACGAACGCACGGATTCGCTTTCGCCAACCAGGGCCGGGTAAGGGGAAAGGATGTTTTCGAAATGCCAGCAGAGGTCTAATGAGTAGGGCGGGCCAGAGGCGAGGTGGGTGGAAATGGTGCTAGGTGGAGGCTTTCTGTGGATGAGACTGTGGAGTATGTTAAGGGCATGGCCGATGGGCCACCAGATATGTCTGAGCTGAGTTGACCTGGCATTGTCGATTTTTCCACGATCAAGCTTGCCAGGTAGTGGAGTGTTTAGAAGATGCTTGAGTATCTTACGCGCACGCGAGCTACTGATATCCACTCGGAGATCGTGGACCATGATGCCTGGTCTTCTGTTGGCATTCTTGACAGCGCAGGTCTCCGTCGTTGTGAAGTGCTTGGCGTCCATGTTATGAAAGAGGAGCCGGTAAGTGTTCTTGAGCTCGTACAGGACGCGGAACTTGGGATTCATTGTGGCGGTTGAATCCATACTATCTCCAAAACTCTTCAAAGAGTGAGCGTTGTACCAGAAAAGTAGTGATTGATCAAGTAAGCTGACATCCCAGAACAACGTCAAGGTTCTCGAAGAGGTCGAAAGTCGCAGGTGATCGTCAATACAGTCGCTCCAGACAACACGAAGACCACCAAGGCTCATCAGCGTCTGGAGATTGAGATCATGGGCTGCGAAAACCTGATCGTTGGACTGCTCAACATCATCTTGCGAATCTAGAACGTCGAAGAGCACGAGGAAATCGAGTATGAACATCTGGCTCTCTTCTTCGGATATGAGCCTTCGCAAAGGCCAATTTCTCCGTCTGGCTCTATTGATAGCGAATATGGCCTCCAGTATGTACAGAAGTTCAGCTTGACGCTCAGTTGTACCGGTGCCAGAGACCGAGTCAAAGACTATTCGAATGATATTGTTGCCTTCCCAGTCTTTGAGCAGCCCTTTTTCGTGACAACGCCGGTGCAACTGATTCAAACTGAATTTCTTCCGTACATCTTCAGACCACGGCCCATTCACGAAAGGTCCAACAGCGTCGGGGATGTTCCCCTCATGGAAATCTTTTGGCCGATTCGAATAGTCAAGCTCTGTGAAGAACCTCCCTACTTCGATGATCACGGACGTTACGTCACTGTCCATAAAGCCGATAGCATTATCACACTTGCTAAATGCTAAGCGATTGATTACGTCCCTGAGATGGAGTCCGTAAGAGTACTCGAGTTCTGGCCACGACATGCATTGCAACATACTGCTGGTTCTCAATGGAAACAGCGCTTCCATGAGCTCCGACTTCCGCAATAGTACCATTTTTTGAAGCCGCGTTCCATGGTTCAATTGATGGTAGGCATTATAAGCATCGACGTCCGAATAATCTGGGGATTCGCCAGCCCACTCCCAAGGGTCGAAATCCACGGCTTCTGGTTTACACCCTAGCTGTTGGTACACATCGTCGGGAAAGAACTTGTCTTTGATTTGTAAGTCAACGCACAAATTTGGAGGAATGCCGTCAGGATGCAGGCATACATTGGAAGTCATACTCAGCCTCAAGATATGATACTGAGGGACGGGCATACATTTTGATACTTCGTTGTCGCTTTTGTCTGTATACTTTTCTTGCTCTCATGTTTTCTACCTCGAAAGTGGACTCTGACATTGTTTCATCCGGAGCAAGCTTGCGCTCCTGTCGATGTAGAGTATACCGCTTGCTGTGATTCCTAATACCGCCTCTCTCTTGACTAGAGACTGAGCTGTCAGCTTTCGAGACATTTTGCCCATAATCTATATAGTTCACGTCAATATCATCCTCAGCTTTATTAGGTAGTGACTGATAGTGTGCCGATCGGGATGGGTATTGAAGGATATCAGTGACCTTGATGGCCACTTCGTGAAAAGCTTTGTGAGATGCTAGAAGGGCGTCAAATTGGTGGCGAGATATATGAGATGGAGGATCCGTAGACACAAATGCGTCCTTTCCAGCCATAGCAGTTTGGAGTCAAACAGCTCGTATGTGAAACGCAGGAACGGGGAGGTCTGAAGAACGAAGAACTAGCGAGGCTGAGAATCATCTCACACCGCGAGCCAACTATGCGGCGCAGCTCATGCAAGGCTGGCGGGCGGACGCTGCCGCGAAGTCTTCAACCAATGATAACTCCTGTCTAAGGCACCGTCAGCTGCTTCTCAACACCCGCATCACCGGTATAGGACCCTTAGTAGCGTATCGTTTCATGGGAAGACCAAATTACAATATTCACGCAGTTTGATGGCAGAACGTGTAGTGTGGAGCCAGCACTACGGAGGTCTGCACCTAAAGTCCTAGACGCCATGCCGCGTCAAGACCTCAGAGTCTGAAGAAGGATTTATCTGAACAAAAATAAGTACGCTTACTTCTGCTTCGAAATTGCGCCTGACCTGAGCCCAGTCCGAGATCCATTGCCTCTATCAGGCCCGATGGACGTCCACTAAAGTTCAATCTACAACCTAAGGCCCAGCCGCACGTAGACAGCGGTCCGCTATACAGCTTAGCCCTAGGAAAACTCCCTCTATATAAGATAGAAGATTTAAAGTCTAAGTATAAGAAAACGCTAAAAAATAAGGCGTGGGTGGGTGGGAAAAGTCTAAAAACCTCTTCTTACGACGAGAGGAATAAGAATAAAAAGCAAGAAACGAGGGGGATACCGTCTATTCAAGGCTCTTTCAATATAGTAATCTCGGCTATCCTGCTATAAGTGTGTGTTATACCTCTCCCTCACTAGCCCCCAATTAAGCTATAGCGACTAGTGCTATCTCGTATAACGTTTTATAAAAACTATATGTATAAATAAGTTCTAAATAATAATTGACTAAGTCTTAAGGCTCAGCCGCATATAGATAGTAATCTACTATATAGCTTAGCTCTAGAAAAACTTTTAAAATAGATCTATATTTAATAGGAATTATTAGCTCTAAGTTAAATAAGAACGCTAAAGATAATATAATATGGCGAGAATATAGATTAAGTACGTTTCGATATATAGGCGATATAAGTTAGACTTCTAATAGTTAAGTAGTTAAATTTTATCGTTAATTAGATCGATATCTCTCGCGGAGATAGCGGCCTTTCTACGAAAAGAGTATTCTAAGTAGTAACTTAGGTAATCGAGTGTGTATAGGGTGCTACGTAGCGTAGTAATAACGTATTATCTTATAAAGGCCTTATTCGAATTAAATAGCGATAATAACTTATTAATAGAAAAGCGAGTAAATAAGTTTCATAGCGAATAAATAGAATAGACGTTATTATTTATAGCGATAATAAATAGCGTAATCCTTCTTCTAAATAGATTCGTCTTCGAGAATAATAGCGATAGCTTTATATAGTAATTATATAGCGTAATCGAACGTCTTATTATATACTATCGTTCGAAGTCGTTATTTTCGAATTCGTATTTAGCGAAGTAATATTAGTAAAAGTTTTATTAATATAGCTAATAATAGAATATAATTAATTATATATGTTATATATATATAGATAATAATAGTCTCGAGAGTTATATAATTTATTACGATTAAATCGATTATAATAAAATAATTAAGGATTTTAAGTATTTTAATAAGAAGATATAGAAGTAGTATTACGATATATCTAAGATAAAGTCTAACTTAGATGTAAATTATATAGTAGATAGGCTTTTAGTTAGATTAATAAGAGTCGCTATCTTAGAATTCGATTTTCTAAATAATTGTCGGGTATTCGCTATATATAAGCATCGTTTTAATAAAGCTAAATTCTATTATAAACGAAGATCTTATAGAAATAACATATCGATTAAAAGGTGTAGGTAGTTAATAGATTAGAAATATAGTAGCGATAATTTAATAGAGCTTCTTAAAGAGAAAGAGTAATTATTTTATAAGTAAAGAAATATATAATTTAATTATAGACCTCGAAGTATCGAAGAAATTCTTTAAATCTCTTAATCTTCTTATCGCCGCTAGCGAGGCGGTTAATAAAGCTATTAAATAGCTTATTAAGATATTTAATATCGAATATTTCGTAATAGATTTATTTAATATATTTTAGATTTATCGCTTTAAAACGA